TGAGAGGAGGGGGGATAGGAGGGGAGGATGAAAGAGGAATGGTGGAAGAGGAGTTTTTTTTTTCTTTCTTAATAAACCTGAGGAGGGGGTGATATTGGAATTAAAAAGCTGGATGGGGAAACGATCGAATCTTGAGATGTGATTAGAATAGCTGACCAACAGCTTTTGATTGGATTGATTAATTAGAAATAGAGACGAAAGATAGCTTTTTAATTAGATTTATTTTAAGTTGCCTACAGGAATACAAAAACTTTTTGAAAAAATACACAGATGCACATATATATGTATATATATATATATTGGTACACACACACACACATATATATATATATATAATATATATATATATATATATAATATATATATATATATATATATATATATATATATATATATATATATATATACAACTAGCCGTCCCGGCCAGGCCCTGCTCTGGCTTCTGTGAAAAACCTTTCTGTTAAAGAACATTACCTGTGTGTTTAGTAATCATCATAAACCCGGCATTGCCCACCCAAACCACAACCAACCAAAATAACAAAACGCAAACATAACGCTAACACAATTACAAATACAAACAAAAACAAAAACCTATATGTATATATATATGTACACACAAACACATATATATGTATGTATATATATATATATATATATATATATATATATATATATATATATATATATATATATATATATATATATATGCACAAATATATGCATACATATTGGTATACACATACAAACACAAACACACTATATATATATGTGTATATATATATATATATATATATATATATATATATATATATATATATATATATATATATATATATATATATATCATATTTAGCGGGCCTATCAGTATAATTTAAGGCTGTAGAAGTTAGTCGTTTGCTTTAATTAAAGCGTAAATATCAAATGACTTATTTAAAATAATCTTAAAATTGCCTGCATTAATGAGCAGGTCAGATTACAATCAACAGTGCGATAAGACCAGGGACGGGGTGGGGGGGGGGGTGAATATGTTGACATAATACACGCTATTTACACCACAACTATATCAAGTAACTTCACTACACGTATAATTTCTTTTCAGTCAGATGTGCTAATGTGTTTAGAGCTGCTGTTCAATTAAACTTTAACAAAGAAATAACATTAAATCTATCGGATTTTGTGTTTGAAAACTACATAACTCATGTTTTGAAACTTCGATTTAATAAAATAAAACTTACAATTAAAACAAAAAAATAAAATAAAGTTTATATTATTGAGCTAATCATCATGTTATAATTTTAAAATCTAAATCTAAACGAGATATTTGTTAAAAATGTTCGATACATAACACACACACACACACACACACCAAAAATATTACCCTTGCCATTGTCTATCCCCCAATTTTTCTCACTCATTAACTAACCCTAAATGACAATTTTACACAGCAATTATCGCGCAAGGGTACTATAATATACCCATACACACACAAAATAGATCCGTCTTTAGGAGGGGGTGTGAGGGTGTACGATCATGACCACAAACGGGAGGAGAGGAGGGGGGAGGGGGTGGTGGAGTATGATTGATTACACCTTGGGCTGAAGAAGTCAAAGACATCCTAGAAGGCGGGGGGGGGGGGGGGTTCTTTACATTATTGAAGCCAACAGTCTATAAATGCCGGGCTGGCGTCTAGGACGTTCGGGGGTAATGGGGGTTAATTTGGGGGTTCCTTTGATTCGTGGCGATGTTGGCAAGTAAATACTGCGAAGGGTCTGTGGTAAATAAAGGGGTTAACGGCGTCCAGATTGTGGTGGGGGACTGTTGCGTGAAACGGAAAGAGTTAAGTTTTTTTTTGTTTTAAAGTGTTTTACGGGGGGGGGGGGGGGAGGCAGGATATATAGCAAGGGTTGGCTGAAATATGATTTGTACGAGCCGATTACGAGTACAGGGGATATGTTGGGGGGGGGGGGGTTAATGTACTCAGATGGGAGGGACTAAAAATGACTAAGGAGGTGTTCAGAAGAGATGGGCACCCGAGTAACAAAGAGAGTGTGACTAAAAAAATGCAGAGAGAGTGACTAAAATAAGCAAGTAACCCAGGGGGAGTGTGACTATAGTAACCCAGAGAGAGTGTGACTAAAATAAGCAAGGAGAGTGACTAAAGTAACCAGAGAGAGTGTTACTAAAGTAACCAGGGAGAGAATGACTAAAGTAAGCAAGGAGTGACTAAAGTAACCAAAGAGTGTGTGATTAAATGGATTTAAAGAGAGTGTGACTTAAGTAACGTGCGACTAAAGTAACCCAAGAGGAGTGTGACTAAAGTAAGCTAGGAGAGGGTTACTAAAAGACTAAGAATGGAATGCGATTAAATGATAAAGAGAGGGCGACTGACTAACAACGTGCGATGTAAGACTACTGATACAATCGAATGCTTAAAAGCTATACTGATTTAATACTTATTTTAAAAAAACTATTAATATCATTTTTTTTTTAAAGTTGCTAAAAAACAGACACATCTTTCATATTAACTTATGTATCTTGTTTGTAACATAGCTTTACAATTCTCAACCTTTTTCTCCTCTCTTCTTAGCTGATCGTAGGCTATTTCTCTAAACTACATGAGAGGATGTACTAGATTTCCTTACACGACACCGTCCATCTCGCCTCCCCCTCCCCCATCCCATCCCCCCACCCGACCCCAACCCCGCCCATGATTTATCATGTACATTAGCGATTCAACGCATTTAGAGCCCCGGTGTTTTTATTGAGCTCCGCGAAGAGACCGAGCCCGGGAAATGATGATTTACGGCGCACGCGGGACATGTTCGAGACGTTGCGGGACATAGAGGAATCAATACGGTGTATTCACGGCGTGAAAAAAGACCCGGGATAAAAAACGAGGGCGCCGACTTTAAGAGGCTGAGTAAACGGTGGGGCCAGGGGGGTGGGGGGGGGGGTGCTGGTCAGTCATCAGATTGTGCAGGCAAGTTGTAAGTGTTTGTAAGCTTTCAAGGGTGGGGGGGGGGGGAGGGGCAGTAGGGAGGTAGTGATCAGTCATTAAATTGTGCAGACAAGTTGTAAGTGTTTTGTAAGCTTATAAGGATGAGGGGAGGGGGGGAGAGAGAAGTAGGGAGGGGGGTGGTCACTCATCAAATTGCAAGTCGTGTTTGTAAGCTTAATTGGGAGGGTGCAGGGGGGGGGTCACTCATCAGATTGTGCAGGTGTCTAAGTTTTTGTAAGCTTAAAATGGTGTGTGTGTGGTGGGGGGGGGGGGGGGGGGCAGGGCGGTATTCACATATCAGATTGTGCAGGCAAGTCGTGTTTGTAAGCTAAAAGGAGGGGGTGGGGGAGGGTGGAGGGGAGGTAAGAGAGGGGAGGGTCACACATCAAATTGTACAAGCCAGTCTTAAGTGTATGTAAAATTAAAAGGAGAGAGAGGGTAGGCAGTTTAGTACGTGGGGTGGGGGGGGGATTAAGGAGTGTGGAAACCACTTTTGTCATGCAAAAAATGAATTAGTGTCTATATATATTTTTACGTAATGGTTAAAAACAAAATTTGTTTAGCATTTTCGAGCAAGTATTTTAACTTAGATTCTCATGTTTGTGTGTGGGAGCAACGGTGGTGGGACCTACTTCATAAGTGTATAAAAAAGATATGGGTGAAGGTCGTTGACTGAAGGAATAAGCGTTCTGAATGAGCGCGTGCCATCTGTTTAAGAAGTGACTATCATGGGAACACTCACGTCGAATGACGAATTCGTTTCATGAGGGGTCATCCAGGCTAATGCAGCGATGACTAAATAGGAATATTGCTCACGGAGAAGGGGGGACGGGGGGGGGGGCGTGCATCCGATATGCATAGCTTTAAGATGAGGATGTGATGTGAGGGTCATCGTATGCCTGCCCACGCCCCTAAATCATATAGGCCGGCACCCCCCCTCCTTACACTTCACTCACATTCCGGACAAGCAGACACAAGCACACACACAAATACACATACAAACACACATACTCATAGACATTCATACTCCCATTCCAGACTAGCAGACACGCACACACACACACGTAAACACACACAACTACATACTTTAAGAACACGCACACACGCACAGACGTACCCATACTAACACACGTATGCACACACAAACAGACATACATTACCCAGACGCAGGCATTATCTCACATTCAGTTCCTTCACTAACGATGAAAATAATACTGAACTTTTTAAAAACGTGGCTGATGTTTTGAAATACCTGACAGCAATGAAATATACTAGTTTAATCCTAGCTTCCCCCCCCCCCCACACACACACTTTCATTCATCTATACCTGCGATATACTACCTAATCTTCACGTCATCAGTATATGGACGCTCGATGATAGTTGGAGATAACTAGAATTCACGGTTAAGTCATCAATAAAAAATCGCTTATTAAATTTTAGATTGACCAGGCACTTTCAGAAAACTATTACAATAATTTGTTGTATTCGCATTTTAAACCCTTGCTTTTAACTATTATAGAGAGCTAGACTGGTAATATGAAAGTCTCGAGTTTGAATCCGGGTTTAAGTCAGTAGACCGTCCCTGAGTCTGCTCAGCCCTGATGGGTACCTAACTCTCGTTAGGGAAAGTAAAGGTAGCTGGGTATAGTACCGATCACAATATCCCTTCATATGCCGAGGTCACACAAACTCTACTTCACTTGCCCCATAGACCGTCAGGTTTGGAAGGGGAACTTAACATTACTTTATGAACTACTCGAGACAAGATTAATGTTCTTGTACTGCTAACTCACAGCTAGAGCTACGTGGTGGATTACGATTTGCTCCCACACCCCGGTAACCAAGCCCGTGATTTCATGTTTCCCACACCCCGGTAACTAAGCCCGTGATTTCATGTTTCCCACACTACATCGCGGCGTAGTCAGGCGGGTCTGTGGTGGGATAACAAGCTGTGATGTAATCGACCCATGGGACGGGCGTCTTCTTACTCTGGCATCGTTAATGGGGGATGAGTGGACAGAGGACAGTCAGGACGAAGGAGGTGATGATGTAGCTGAGAGTCAGCAGGAGGTCAAAGGTGAAGTCATATCAGAAGGTAGATTCCCAAGTAAAACGTTATCAAAAGGTAGTCACAGGTAAAACATCATCAGCAGGTACAGTCGCTATGATTCCAGGTAAACCATCATCATCAACGGTGGTTACAATCCCTCCAAGGTAAAAGATCAGCAGGAACAGTCCCAGGTAAAACGTCCCAAGAATGTACAGTAGTTATGATCCAAGGTTAAATATCAGCAGTTACAGTCCCTATGACCCCAGGAAAAACATCAGGTAATGTTCATATGATCCCAGGTAAACCATCATCATCATCAGTGGGTGCAATCCCTCCCAGGTAAAATATCCGGTACAGTTCCTTCCAGGTAAAATATCATTAGCAGTTACAGTCCCTATGACCCCAGGTAAAACACCAGGTACAGTCCCTATGACCCCAGGTAAAACACCAGGTACAGTCCCTATGACCCCAGGTAAAACACCAGGTACAGTCCCTATGACCCCAGGTAAAACACCAGGTACAGTCCCTATGACCCCAGGTAAAACACCAGGTACAGTCCCTATGACCCCAGGTAAAACACCAGGTACAGTCCCTATGACCCCAGGTAAAACGCCAGGTACAGTCCCTATGACCCCAGGTAAAACACCAGGTACAGTCCCTATGACCCCAGGTAAAACACCAGGTACAGTCCCTATGACCCCAGGTAAAACACCAGGTACAGTCCCTATGACCCCAGGTAAAACACCACTGTGTACAGAGGCAGTCGCGTGAGGTCAGGCCGCACGTGTAATGACAGCCGTGAGTACCCCAAGCGATTTAATGATGACATGAGCATCAGATTACAAGCACGTGATTTGTGACCTTGCTACCTGTCATGTCAACGACAGGGATCCCCCTCCCACCCCCCTACCCCATCTCCTTTATGTTCTTCCTTCCCCACGTTAAACTCATCAGACAGGATCCAGAATAAATTTAGTCACACACATGTTCAGTTCTTACATCGCAATTACAATGGCGACATGTATGTTATACATGTTGCGACATGTATTCTATACTCGCACTAAGTTAATGTTACATAAGTAATTTTTTTTATCGCGGCACATGTATAGACTAAAAAAAAAAGAAAATATACTTTAACGATTCTTTTCCCAACCACCTGGAAATTTCAATCTCCCCCACCCCCTCCATCCAAGCAAAGTGTCAGAAAAACCCTGACTATGTCTGTTCTAGTAGCAATGTTCTGGGTTAGACTTGGGATGAGGGTTAGGGTAAGCGCTAGGGAGATGATGTTGGTATTAGCTAACGTTAAGGTATATGTTTAGGTTAGGGTGGTGATCATATTAAGAAAATCTCCAACACTCGCCCTATCATTTTATTTTCTACACGAACAAACGAGCAGATAGACAAACATATAGACAAACACATAGACAAACATATAGACAAACATATAGAAAAACATATAGACAAACATGTAGACAAACATATAGACAAAAATATAGACAAAATATAGACAAACATATAGACAAACATATAGAAAACATATAGACAAACACAAAGACAAACATATAGACAGACATCAATACAGACATAAAAATATGCAGCCAGAACAGACGTAAATTCAGACAGACACACGGACAAATAGACACACAGATGGATATTGACAATGATATAAACTATCGCATCGAAACCGGTATCGATTACGTATTCGAAGCAGCATGGGAAGGTATCGTTTTTGGAAATGAGCAATCATTGGAGAAAATTTGTCAAAGAAAATGCGATAAAAATTGCAAATGTGGCGGTTGGGGGGAGAGAGTGGGGAGGGGGGGGGGTGAAGACCAAGGCATTTGTGACGGATATTAGCTAGGAAAAAATGGCCGCCGGCTGCAGGAATGGCGGCAGACGTGTAAAACTATCTCCCGGCTGGAGGGTGCGGGTTTATAGTTTTGATGAAATTAGGGTTGGGTTTTAAAGGGAGTCTTTGGTTTAGGGTTTATGGATTTTTGTTTTTCTGTGTTTGAAAGGATGTATGTAGTGTATGTGAATACCCTAAGGGGTGGTTTATGGTGTATGGGTAATGGGAAGCTGATGCTGTATGAAGGCCAGGATGGGATTTTTTTTTGGGAACAAATGCAATTATTTTTTAAGGATTTAAAAAAAAAGACGAAACTTTAAAATTTTATTTTAGACACTAATGATGGTTGTTATGGGACGACGTGGTCTAGCGGTAGAGAGCTAGGCTGCTAGCCCGAGAGTCTCCAGTTCGAATCCGGGTTCAAATCAGAGGATCCCTGAGTCCGCCCAGCTCTGGTGGGTACCTAACTCACGTTTTGGAAACACTATCTCTTCGTATGCCGAGGTCTCTGAAGCAGTTGGACTCTAATTCATTCATCAGCCCTATGTGTCTTGAGTGCGAACGGAACATGATGTTGATGTTGAATGATGGTTGTTGATCTTGAAGTGGAAAAGTACAAGACAACCATGAGATTGTATACTTTTATATGAGAGAGATGAAGGGTTAATGGAGTCAAGTCATGATCTACACTGGATTGTATACAGTTGAGAGAAGGTAGGCTATACGATTCTGGTGGTAAAGATTGATAGTATGGAGCCAATAGTAAAAAAAAAGATAGGTATGCAATCAATAGAGGGATGGTTTATAATGAAGAGTATATAATTTGAATATTGTTTAAAGGGATGGATCGGTTAACGTACTTAATGAGGTGGTATTCTATTTAGAGATGTTACACAATTGAGGTATACTTTATTAGGATTGATTAATGTTCACACATAAAAGGTATTCACATACTTCATAGGGTTTGATGGGCAAATGCCTACAGACGAAAGGTATTCACAAGCTGTATAGGGATTAATAGGTTAATGTCCGCAAAGGAAAGGTATTCACAAGGAAGAGTGAATACAAGGAGAAATACGTAAAGAAAGACGGCGTTCTATGGACTCATGTAAACAAAGAGAAAGACTACGCTTTATGTAATGGAGTTAAAGCATAATGGTATCCAAACTTTAATAGTTTACAATGGCGCATCCAATGGGGGTATAATATAATAAATGGGAAGACTTTCTACAAAACTTGATCTTCTTCTTTGTTCTTAGTTTTAGTGTTGGAAGGGATCCCCCTCCCATACAATTAAGGATACGTGTCAACTGGTTATGCGCCATAGAGGCCATTGACTCCGATTTCAGCCTGCTTTTCTTTTTGGATTTGCTTCCATAGCCTTTGTCCATTTGTCCAACCAAGAACAAACTATAAGGCAGCAGTTGTTTGATTTTGAAGTTGTCTCTCCTAGAAGAGTGGCTGTCCCCAGCTAGTGAGCCTCACCTGCCCGAGGGTTCGAACTCGAGACTTTTCGGTTTAGCAACCATGAGCTTTACCGACTCGACCACGCCGACCAAAAACTTGATGATATCCAAAAATAAAATGGTACACAATAGGTAATTGGAATGCGATCAGGACCTATCCAATCCACCGGCTGAAAGAGAACTGTCTAGCGCTAAAGGCGAAGTGGAGTCGACTGACTCAGACACGCTGAGCGTAATGGAAATTTCAACCTGAATTTAACAGCATTCGAGTTTTCATTATTGGCGCCGTTCAACTGAGATTAATTACTATATCGGATTTTTTTGTAGAATATTTCATCGCTGTTAAGATTTTTTTAAATACGGATTTTGCTTTTTAAAAAATAGCCTCCTTTTTAAAAAAGGATACTTTAAAAAAAAATTATTTGCTTTTTAAAAGAAACAAAACTTGTAAATAATTGAAACTTAAAATGCGTTTTAAAAATTGTATTAAGTTACTATATTTTCTGAAATTAGAAATTAAAGTGTGTGTGTGCAAGTCTCATTAAGACATCTCATCCGTTTTTGTTTTTTTTAATGAGCAGCCAATGCGTGTTCTTGTTATGTTTTTCCTTTAAATCAGGCCTCTCAAAGAGCTATGGCGTAAGACTGTATGTATCACGTGATTTAGTGTTGTCTACAGGAGACAGGTAACAGCAACGTATCTTGTTCTGCTAATTCTTTAACGTCACCTAAATCTTAAGAAAATTTTCCAACCTAGTGGGTCATAACCCCTCATATCAATCAAACCATCAAAAAGCTTAACTGTGGGTAAACAACACATGCTAACTCACAAGCTACGGAACAATTGAAATTATACCAGATCTGAACTAAATTACAAACCCCGTCTAGAAGACTGACACACATTTTCAACGAATGACGATGGTGAGTACAAACTTGTATCGGACTCACTCTATTTGATATTTCATCACAGCTTACATATTTTTTGGAACAAAAAGTTACCTCCCCCCTCATCCAACAGTGGTGAGGACACTCTCAGTGCCTCTAAAAATACGTAAGTAATAAGTAAAATTCCTTTTTGGTCCTAGTCATTTAGTAAATATTTAAAGTTCATGCTTCTTGAACTCGGCAGATTGAGGAATAGTGTGGTCAGCACTATGCCCAGCCGCCTTTACTCTCCCCAAAGTAAGTCATGTACCTAACCGACCTTAGTAAACTCAGGGACGTTCTACGGTCACCGAGATCCGAACTCGAGACCTTCGGGCTAGCAGCCAAATGCTCTACCACTTAGCCACGCCATCTCTCTTAGAGATCAATGAGTGAACCAAAACACCCAACATCTACCTCTGTTTACCAGTGCAGGCATCATCACGTGACATATAAAAATAAAAACACAAGGGAGATGACTGGCACCTGATCCTCTTATGTCAGTGTTTGAGTCCCGGAGCTGTGAAAGGGCTTGATGTTTCGTGACACGACACACGGGGAGTTGGTGGTGTTGTGTTGGTGGTGTTGTGTTGGTGGTGTTGTGTTGGTGGTGTTGTGTTGTTGTCATGTCTAGCTCGTTAGTTTAACAAGCATTACCTCTTGGTGGTGGGGGGGGGGGGAGGTGTGTGTGTCTGTGTGTGTATGTATGTATGTGTGAACGTGTGTGTAAGTGTGTATCTGTGTGTAAAGGTATTTATGTGTGAAGGGATTGTGTGTAAATGTGTGTGTACATGTGTGTGTGAAGGTGTTTGTGTGTAACTAGGTGTGAGTGTATCGGTGTGTGAAGTTATTTGTGTTAATGAAGGTATGTGTGTGTCTGAAGGTGAGCGTTCATGAAGTTGTGTGTGAAGGTGTGTGAGTTTAAGAAGGTGTGTGTATGTGAAGGTGTGTGTGTTCATGAAGGTGTGTGTGGTGTAAAGGTGTGTCTGTGTGAATGTGTGTGCGTTTAAGAAGGCGTGTGTGTAATGGTGAGTGCGTTTATGAAGCTGTGTATGTACGAAGGTGTGTGTGAATGTGTTTGCGTGTAAAAGTTTGTGTGTGTACCTCTTGTCAGTTTTTAGAACCATGAGTTATTTTTCCTTGTTTTTTATCCAATCTTAAGGGGTATTCACGTCACACGTCTATGAGAAATCGGGGATGGGGGTGGGGGAGGGGAGGGAAGATTGCTGTGACTTAGGTAGTTATGTGCAATGTATGGAAAAGGCTGAGTGTATACCTGGGAAAAAAAGTGGCATATCACAAACATATATATGTGATTCTATACGGGCTAGAGAAAAACAAGTTAATAAAAAGTCTAGTGACAATTTAAGCGCAATTTCCTTATGTTATCTAAAAATAGATCTGTCGTAGCGTAAAGCACACACGGGGACAAAACACAAAACGTATAATGCTGGGGTGCATTCAAGCTAGGAGAACGATCGGTTTGTAGGTGTTTATGTAATTTAAAAAAAAAATTGTGACCGAACGAAAGGATATTTTTGAAAACTTTCTTCGGCAATATTGTTTTAAATTATGGCAGGAATCGATTGGTACATGTTTCAAGTCGCTAAGTGGTCTGGTTGCCGAGATATGGGCCAAAAACTGCATTCTTTCGAGGTTTTTTGGCTTTTCCGCCGGGAAATCCAGTAAGGAATTACGGGAATATTTTTTGGCCCACAATCATCCTCGGAACTTGCTTAACATATTTGCTTTTGGAACTAGTCCTCGATATTGCTTCGTTGAGGAGGAGATACGACTTAAAGCTGCGGACACACATCCACACATCCATCCATCCATCCAGAAATGACGCATTATTAAACGCAATTGCCAGTATGGAAATTGCGCTAAAAATCAGCCTAGATATATGTCTATTACACGTTTACACACCATTAAACGTCGCCATGTAATTTCATAATGTGAAACCATTTAGACGAAATGGTTTAATTATACTGGCATTATATTTAGATACACAAGTTTAGATACGCAATTACAAAAGTTGACTAGAATAAACAGAAGATAAATAAAGCTATAGGGAAAAGTGTAGAAGGAAACCCCAGTTAGTAGTTTCAGCAACGTTCTGTAATTTAGTCATGAAGACGCGGCTTGAAAACTATCGGTTGTGCGCAGATGACTTTAAAAGTTGGTCGATGTGCAGACGACTTTAGAACACGAAAATCTGCAGTCTTGACTTAAGAGGATTAGTGTCTAGACATGACTTTAGAAATAAAATGGATTTGTAGACATGACTTAAGAATTAATTGTTGTTTAGACAGGACTTTAGAGGCTATGGTTGTGAAGAAATGACTTGAGATCATGTTTGCACGGATATGACTTGATAATATATGACTGTGTGGACATGACTTGAGATCTTAGGCTAGTATCGACATGACTAGGTGATTTATGACTGTGCATACATGACTTGAGACTCTGTAGACATGACTTGAGATCCTTTGTTAGTATCGACATGACTTGGTGATTTATGACTGTGTAGAAATGACTTGAGATCATATGCTAGTGACATGACTTGGTGATTTATGGTGAGACATGACGTGAGATTATTTACACATGAATTGAGATCTTATGTTAGTATCCCCATGACTTGGTGATTTATGACTGTGTGGACATGACTTGAGACTGTGTAGACATGACTTGATATTATGTAGACATGACTTGAGATTATGTAGACATGACTTGAGCTTATGTAGACATGACTTGATATTATGTAGACATGACTTGAGATTATGTAGACATGACTTGAGATTATGTAGACATGACTTGAGACAGTGTAGACATGACTTGAGACAGTGTAGACATGACATGAGATTATGTAGACATGACATGAGCTTATGTAGACATGACTTGAGACAGTGTAGACATGACTTGAGATTATGTAGACATGACTTGAGCTTATGTAGACATGACTTGATATTATGTAGACATGACTTGAGATTATGTAGACATGACTTGAGATTATGTAGACATGACTTGAGACAGTGTAGACATGACTTGAGACAGTGTAGACATGACATGAGATTATGTAGACATGACATGAGCTTATGTAGACATGACTTGAGACAGTGTAGACATGACTTGAGATTATGTAGACATGACTTGAGATTATGTAGACATGACTTGAGATTATGTAGACATGACTTTAGATTATGTAGACATGACTTGAGATTATGTAGACATGACTTGAGATTCTACCATAAGACAGCCAGTTCTGACGTCCTGAGCCCAATGCTAACCAGCTGATGCTATTAAAACAGGAAGGGGAACTTTAAATTGTTAATCTGGTGAAATTGGCCCCCGCTGTCTTCGTCTGTCACCTAATGATCGAATGATGGGGTGGGGTAGGGGAGGAAGGTAGGAGGGGTGGGGTGGGGGAGTACGGCATGAGGGATGGGGGAGGACAGTATGAAAGAAGAATGATATGGGGGAGGACGGTATTAGAGGTGGGGTGGGGACGTGACAAAGGAGAATGGTATGGGGAGGACGGTATTAGAGGTGGGGTGGGGGAGAACGGTGTGAGGGGTGGGGTGGGGTAGGACGGTGTGAGGGGTGGGGTGGGGTGCGGGAGGACGGTGTGATGGGTGGGGTAGGGGAGGACAAAATGAGGTGTTGGGTGGGGTGGGTGACCGTATGATTCCGTGAGGGTGAGGAAAGTATCAATGGTTAGTACGGGGTATGTAGGTATTAAGGTCGGGAGTGGACGGTGTGAGGGGTGAGGTGGGAGTGGACGGTGTGAGGGGTGGGGTGGAGGAAAATATTGTCATTTGGTGAGGGTGTAGAAAATATCAGGGGTGGGGTGTGGATTTAGGGGTGGGGGAAGATAAGGAAAAGTAAGGAAAAGGGTAGATAACATTCGCTCTAATTGCGTTTTGTTTTACAATATTTCCTTTCCTGGACTAATGTCGGAATCAGAATTAGAATCTATAAGTTATTTACAGTTTGTCTGAAGCGGGATTTGATAAGTTATTTATAGTTTGTCTAGCGGGATTTGATAAGGGCGCATTGTATTTTTGGTTTTGGGCGTGTGTATATATATATATATATATATATATATATATATATATATATATATATATATATATATATATATATATATATATATATATATAATATGTGTGTGTGTGTAAGGCAAGGGGATTTTTTTTTTTGGGTAGACCAACACGATCAGGCCAGAAAAAATATCGGGGCTAAAGCGAAACGATTGGCATGTTCGTGTTTTAGTTGACGTAGCACGGCGACTAAAGCAGCGTACAGAATGTAAACTGTGAGCTGTTTTAACATGAGACAGGCTTTGTGCGACCTTTCGACAGTTTAAAAGACGTCGTTTCAATATTTGATGATGACTTACACTCCCACCCCCCCCCCCCCCCACCGGTTCGGCGTCATCCACCCACTCCATCCCAGGGGCGTCGCCAGGTTTTCCTTGCAAGCAGTGCCGGCGCTAGGTTATTTAGCGCCCTAGGCATAACTTAGTAAAACGCCCCCTTTCACACAAATTAATTATTAAAACATATGTATAAGAAAACAAGTAATTAATTTAAAATGACATATTAATTGTGTATCAATTGCATACACGTTATCAGTAGACATCAAAATCAAATTTTACTTGCCTCCTTCGTCTCAAAAGTGTGTACTAATTCCTTCAATTCCAATTTGCAAGCGTAATCACATTTTATTGAAATTGTTGCTAAGTGCACGAGTCTACTTTGTACTTAACGACATAGTCCCACTTCCTCCCCCCCCCCCCCCCCCCCCCCCCCCCCGTGAGAAAAAAAGTCTGGAAAAAAAAACGCTGAATCAAAAAAGAGTTGTTGTAGTGTTGGGCTCTCTGCAGACCTGCCAAGGTGAGTTCCAAAACGGAACTTACCGGTTTTAAGCTTGACTGTCTTTCGGTATAATTGTGAAATGTCTATATTGTGTGATTACGCAACGATTTTTTTTTTTATTTTGAAAAATAAAAGGTAATAAATAATATAGATTCCAGCCTAAAATTGTTATATATAAATCCTTTAAGAGAGGAGAAAAATTTGAAAAGACAGTTAGATGTTTAATTTATGACTAAGACTGTATGTCTACTAACATTAAGTATTGAAATCTATAACGGCTACTGATGTATTTGTTTTCAACTTGATAATGCTAAAAAAAACTACCAGACTATTTTGTTTAGAACTTAAGCTGTATATAATTTTTACAATAGCAAATAATAACTTAAAGTTGTATTTATATTTATATGTAAGCGGTAAATTTGATATGAATGTAAAGTTAAGCAACGAATTATCTTCCATTTGGAAATCCGATTACCAAAAATTTATTCAAGGGAAATAACTTTCAGAAGAATAGCTAAATTAACCAAGTTTAACTAAGACATGTATGAAAAAAACTAAAAATTTCATTACATAATAATTATAGCAAATCTTTTATATTAGCTATGTAACCTTGTAAAAATAATTTATTTTACCAATCAAACACTTAATTGTACGGTTTGTTTTAAAATTTGAAAATGGTAGCCTTATTATAACATTTTTTATTCAATTTCGATGGCGTACCGAGAATTGTAATGAATCTGAAGATTGGAGATCAAAATATTAAAATTTTGGAAGACACTAATTCGTTTAACTTCAACAAGCACTACAAACGGTACTCCCAATCAACAACGATTTCACTGGACATACTACTACACTTCTACAGTCAATACCTTAAAACCACAAGAACCAATACTCCCGAACTACGATACTTCATCACCGGCATTCTCATTTCTCTACTACCAATCAGATTCCACTTAGACCTTCAGCTACAAAACAGCCAAATAAAAATCATAACACTTTTACACTTCGATACTTAAAACCTAAGAAACAATATCAGCAACAGCCTTCCGCCGCTACTCCCAAATCTAAACGATTCATCAAAAGTTATCAAACATTAAACAAGTACAACACTTTGAACACCCCGTCATTACAAAACTCTGTATACCAGGACAGATTTCTAATTCAAAGTCAGAGAAAACGAGACTTACAAGCCCTATTAAAATTAGATAACCGTTTGAAATTTTCGAAATTTAAATGACGTACTTATTTATTCGTTTTCTACATCAATTATGTGACACCAAATTAAAAAGGCAAAGTGACTGGTAAAAAGCGCCCCGACCTTTCCAAATTAGGGATATGGTGTTGCATTTTCACTATCGCGAATAAATATAGGCCTATATAGACCTAATTTTGGGGTGGGGTGCAAAATTGATAGTTCGTCCTGGGTTTCGAAATAGATCGCTATACCTTTATAAAAATTATTAATTATTAGGTACTTTTTGATAATAGCGACTAAACCTTTTGCGCCCCCCTCTTAGGGATGGCGCCCTAGGAGACCGTCTAGTTCGCCTTATAAGTAGTGCCGGCCCTGCGTGCAAGGGAAACAGTGAGTGTATAAAAACGGCGTCAAGATTTTATTTTAATTATTAAAAATTTAAAACAATGTTTATTTTCATGTTTTTTTTTGTTCCGGGTTAATACAAATGTTTACAAGAAGGGTGGGGAGAGAGACCGACTCACCTTTAACAAAGAATTTCACACGGTGGGGTTTTGGGGGGGGGGGCGGTTGATCCATCTGCTCCCATAACGCCAACACTTCTTACCATGACGTATTCCTCTATTACCTACACCCCGGCCGCTCAACGTTACCCACGTCCTACCATTCACCATTGACTATTCACCATTCACCATTGCCTATTCACCATTCACCATTGACTATTCACCATTCACCATTGACTATTCACCATTCACCATTGACTATTCACCATTCAATATTGCCTATTCACCATTCACCATTGCCTATTCACCATTCACCATTGACTATTCACCATTCACTATTGACTATTCACCATTCACCATTGACTATTCACCATTCACCATTAACTATTCACCATTCACCATTGACTATTCACCATTCACCATTCACCATTGACTATTCACCATTCACCATTGACTATTCACCATTCACCATTGACAATTAACCATTCACCATCGACAATTGACCATTTTTTTATGATACGAATACACCGCACATGATTCAGTAGCTAATCAACTAAGCCAGTTTCCTACTATCCTGCACCTATAACAGGGGTCGGCAACCTTTTGAGAGGGAAAAGCCAAAAGCAGTAGCGTAGCGAGGGGGGGGGGGGGGGGGGGGCGGGGGGGGGGGGACATATGTCCCCGGGCGCCGAGCTTAGGGGGCGCAAAAATGGGTTGGAAAAATAAATTGAAAGGTTGAGGTGGGTGCAAATTGAAAGTTTGAGGGGGGGGGTGCAAATTAAAATCTCGAGGGGGGTTGCAAATCGAAAGTTTGAGGGGGGGGGAGGGTGCAAATCAAAATCTCGAAGGGGGGGTGCAAATCGAAAGTTTGAGGGGGGGTGCAAATCAAAATCTCGAGGGGGGGTGCAATTCGAAAGTTTGAGGGGGGGGGGGGGGTGCAAATCAAAATCTCGAGGGGGGTGCAAATCGAAAAGTTTGTCCCCGGGCGCCGGGAAGGGTCGCTACGCCTCTGGCCAAAAGTTACAATTTACAAAATGTCCCAGTTTTTAGAGAGCCTCTTACACTATTTATTTCAATATTATGATATTTGATTAAGAGTATATATATATATATATATATATATATATATATTAAAATAAATAGCTTTAAATATGAAACAATATTTATTCATATAAAAACATACACACGTTTCACAGAAAAAATATTAACATATTTTATCTAGCTCTTCTAGAATAATAAAATCAGTTATCAAATGATAAAACAATAATTATTGAATAATATTTACAATAGTTTGACGTTGCAAGCCTTTTGAATGTTTGTTTAAACCTGGCTCATAACTTGTTGTTTTCAGTTTCAAGCACGCCTCTAGATTTTTATTTGTTAGTAGGCTTTTTACTTATCTTTTATATTATATTCATGCAAGAAAACGCTTGTTCGCATGCATATGTAGACCCAGGGGCGTAGCGAGGGGGGGGGGGGGGGCGGGGGGGGGGGGTGCGGAACGCACCAGGTGACACCATTTAAGGGGGTGACACCAAGGCAAAAAATAGCAAAATAAATAGAGAAAAACTCGAGGGGGGTGCAAATCGAAAGTTTGAGGGGGGGGGTGCAAATCGAAAACTTGAGGGGGGTGCAAATCGAAAGTTTGAGGGGGGGGGGGGGGTGTTGCAAATCGAAAATTTGAAAGTTTGTCCCTGGGAAGGGTCTCTATGCCTCTGGGGGGTTGACACCATTAAGTGCCGCACCGGGTGACACCCGACCTCGCTACGCCACTGTGTAGACCCGAAGATCGTCAGAACTCCATATGCAAAGTTCTTCACCTCACTGTAGCATCCTGGGAGACTATTACATGCGTCACAAAATAGTGCCTCAACTCGCGGCATTTCTTTTAGAGCTGCCCACTTCTGTAGCGAAACGTGCATGTTTTACTAGACCTCCATCTTTTTTAACTTGCTCTTGATATCTGTGAACTTACCACTCCACAAATGTTTGGTTTTCAAATCCAGCTATTTCATTAGAAGAGAGCCAACATCAATTCCAAATAGCTCGAAGTTATTCTCATTTGTTTTTGTGTTGAGAGAATCTACTATGAACGTCCGGGTACTTGCATTTTTACTTTCTCGTATATACGTAGTATAGAGAAAGTATTGTAATCGTGCAAAAAAAAAAAATCGAGATTTTTACAAATCTCGACGTTTTACACCTCACTGATACGGAAAAACATAATTTTGCAATCTTGTCCGTATGTCTGTGTGTGTGTGTGTCTGTGTGTCTGTCCGTGTGTAAACACGATAACTTGAGTACCGTTACAGCTAGGTTGATGAAATTTCATATATAAGTATTTTATCAAAATCGTAGATCCGTATCAACTTTTGAGCGATTTCCGATAACCGGAAGTGGTACTTTTCCTACTTTGAATTTTTCAAAAGCCTATAACTTGAGTACTATTTCAAATAGATAAATGAAATTTCACATGTAAGTAAAAGATCTAATTCTCTACCTTCTGTTAAATTTTGAGTAATTTCCGTTGACTGGAAGTAGTAATTTACGCTACTTCCGATTTCTCAAAAAACTAATGTAAATTTTTAAAGTACTAATAATATTGCGCACTATTATACGCGTTTTTATTCGGCGTTTGCTTGGTGCGCAATGTTTTTTTTTATGAGATTCTATTCTATTTTTAAAAGTTTAAGTATTTAAAATGGATTAAAAATCATAACTATATCCCCAGTTACCATCCAGCTATTTCATTAGAAGAGAGCCAACATCAATTCCAAATAGCTCGAAGTTATTCTCATTTGTTTTTGTGTTGAGAGAATCTACTATGAACGTCCGGGTACTTGCATTTTTACTTTCTCGTATATACGTAGTATAGAGAAAGTATTGTAATCGTGCAAAAAAAAAAAATCGAGATTTTTACAAATCTCGACGTTTTACACCTCACTGATACGGAAAAACATAATTTTGCAATCTTGTCCGTATGTCTGTGTGTGTGTGTGTCTGTGTGTCTGTCCGTGTGTAAACACGATAACTTGAGTACCGTTACAGCTAGGTTGATGAAATTTCATATATAAGTATTTTATCAAAATCGTAGATCCGTATCAACTTTTGAGCGATTTCCGATAACCGGAAGTGGTACTTTTCCTACTTTGAATTTTTCAAAAGCCTATAACTTGAGTACTATTTCAAATAGATAAATGAAATTTCACATGTAAGTAAAAGATCTAATTCTCTACCTTCTGTTAAATTTTGAGTAATTTCCGTTGACTGGAAGTAGTAATTTACGCTACTTCCGATTTCTCAAAAAACTAATGTAAATTTTTAAAGTACTAATAATATTGCGCACTATTATACGCGTTTTTATTCGGCGTTTGCTTGGTGCGCAATGTTTTTTTTATGAGATTCTATTCTATTTTTAAAAGTTTAAGTATTTAAAATGGATTAAAAATCATAACTATATCCCCAGTTACCATCCCCTGTTGTTTTATATAAGAATATTCGAGAAAGTTTAGGGGAGATCACTACCGGTTTATTTATCGAATTGCTCAAATCTCTCAGTGAAGCCATCCTTCATTTTGTTTATAGTAATGCTGAAGTGATTCATGTTAATAGTAGTATTGGTTTTATCACGATTTTTCTTTTTCAGATTTTTCAAAATAAAGTAATTTACCGCTCTCCGTGTCTTCAACAAAATGAAGTAATTTCTTCTTTTTCGCAACAATCATCTTCTTCAAGCAAGACATAGTCCGGGTTTTCCATTAAGTTTTACACTAATTATTTATTATTAGCTGGTTTAGTTTCTTTGTGATATCTCCACTATGAAGTTGAATGTTTCAATTCGGAATGGACAATGTAATAGGAAGTACATTGAGATAGGGATTAACTAAATATTATAATAGAATAGTGAATGTTTATTGTTTATATCTATTGTTATATCGTTTATTACCGAGTGTTGCAGACTAATATGTTTATGAGTTTTGAAAATAAAATAAGATAATTATTAATATTTGTGCATGGAGCTGAAGAGCCGCAACTGGACACCAAAAGAGCCGCATGCGGCTCGCGGGCTGCAGGTTGCCGACCCCTGACCTATGATATAATTATACGAAAGAAACAGGTAAAGTACATGCTCGGACAGAATCTTAAGTCCAACGATCAAAATTCACCTATCACCAATGTCCATATCACACCATTACAAAGAATTAACAAATGTATAGGCCCTATACTCTGAATATATGAAAAAGAAATAAAAATGCTGGCGTGATGATTAAATCTGTGTATAATATATTTTATGTTATATTTTTTTAGAAAGAAAAACAAAAAAAATTATATTTCTAACTATTTTACGCTTGCTATTTTGAGTTAACCCCTGTATTTACGCCGATTATCTCCCTTGAACAGCCTTACCTCCCCTTACTTAACAAACCTCGGGTGACCAACAACACTGTTGACACAATGCTCATGTGAACCGTTGCCTTATGCGCTACATAGAGCGAACGAGCAAGAGGCCTGCCACGTACTGATACCCGCAATAACGAAAGATTAAGACGGAAACTACTGCAATAAAGTGCACGTTTTAATTAAGTTCTTTTAATTAAGTTTCTTAACAAGGGTAGAAAAAAAAATTAAGTAGGTTTATTTGCGCATGAATGTGTTTTCGCTCTTAATACGTAATCAATGCAATATTGATTAACCAGGGTTTATTTCATTAAGGGTATATGATACCTTGATGAATAGGGGCTGTGTATTATGGCTGTATAACCTAATATTGACAGGATTATTGTAGGAAATCATGACCCTATGATATATAGATGGGATTAGTATAGCATGTTATTGCTATATGATACCTCAATATAGACGGGAATATCATAGGAGTTTGATAACTAAGAGTTTTACTTAAGACTTTATTATTATATCAAAAGCTGGTAATTAGGAGTAAAGTAGATGATAGTATGGTTGATCTTTTACCCAACAGAGAGGGGCGTAGAAGAATTACTTCTATTCGATGCCTAGATAACTAGAGGCTTAGTGTTAGAAATTATGGCTGTGTAATACGATCTTGGAGAGGATGGCTGATTATGTATCGAAACACGTCTACAATAGAAGTCCACTGTTATGATGTTTGATGTGGTTGTTTGATGTTGATGTTTGATGTGGCTGTTTGATGTGGCTGTTTGATGTGGCTGTTTGATGTGGCTGTTTGATGTTGATGTTTGATGTGGCTGTTTGATGTGGTTTTTGATGTTGATGTTTGATGTGGCTGTTTGATGTGGCTGTTTGATGTGGCTGTTTGATGTGGCTGTTTGATGTGGCTGTTTGATGTGGCTGTTTGCTGTGGCTGTTTGATGTGGCTGTTTGATGTGGCTGTTTGATGTAGCTGTTTGATGTAGCTGTTTGATGTAGCTGTTTGATGTGGCTGTTTGATGTGACTGTTTGATGTAGCTGTTTGGTGTGGCTGTTTGATGTTGATGTTTGATGTTGATGTTTGATGTGGCTGTTTGATGTGTCTGTTTGATGTGGCTGTTTGATGTGGCTGTTTGATGTTGATGTTTGATGTGGCTGTTTGATGTGGCTGTTTGATGTTGCTGTTTGAAGTGGCTGTTTGATGTGGCTGTCTGATGTGGATGTTTGATGTGGCTGTTTGATGTTGATGCTTGATGTGGCTGTTTGATGTGGCTGTTTGAAGTGGCTGTTTGAAGTGGCTGTTTGATGTGGCTGTTTGATGTTGCTGTTTGATGTGGCTGTTGATGTGGCTGTTGATGTGGCTGTTGATGTGGCTGTTTGATGTGGCTGTTTGAAGTGGCTGTTTGATGTGGCTGTTTGATGTGGCTGTTTGATGTGGCTGGGTGATGTGGCTGTTGATGTGGCTGTTTGAAGTGGCTGTTTGATGTGGCTGTTTGATGTGGCTGTTTGATGTGGCTGTTGATGTGGCTGTTTGAAGTGGCTGTTTGATGTGGCTGTTTGATGTGGCTGTTTGATGTGGCTGTTGATGTGGCTGTTTAAGGTCAAAATGTCAAGTCTATTTTGTCTAACTTTACATCTTTTAGATCAGGGGTTCCCAACCTTTTTTTACTCTAGAGCACATTCTAAAATATCTGTAGGGTGGCGGGCACCATCTATTTTAAATCGACAAACTCCTTCCATAACTTGTCATTTTCCCATAATTTATTTTCTTTTTTTTATAGTCATAATGTATAAAAAAGTAATATAAACAAAAATGTTTCAAAATAATAAAATTATTTGGCATTTTTTTCGAATTGCATACACACAGAGAAATGTAGTTACAAAACGTAGAGAAAGGTTTTCTGCGTGTACAAGGTGTGATGTGCAAATAGCACTAGCCTTTCCAGGCAAGCGTAAATAGTGCAGTCTGACAAGTTGGGACAAGTATCGAACATATTTAATAAACCTAGGCAGTCAAAAAAAAAATTAAAACTGTTACAAATAATTGAAAATAAATCATATTTTAAAATAATGTTTATGAAAAAAATTCTGTCTCTGTCAAATAGTGAGAGGCGGGCACATACGAATCGTTCAGCGGGCGCCATGGCGCCCGCGGGCACAGGGTTGGGAACCCCTGTTTTAGAGGGTGAAGTATAGATAATAGACCACACCTACGTAGATAACCTCTTTTATCACACACCAACTAGAGATAATCGTGATGATCAAACAAATGCTATAGAAAATCTGTTTCATCAAACACCAACTAGAGATAATCTTGTTGACCAAACACATGCTTTAGATAATCTCTTTGATCAAACAAACCTTGCACAGAATGTTGTTGATTAACCACCTCCTATAATCTCATTGATAAAACACCCTTTCCAGATAATTCCCTTTAATGAAACACCCTCTACAGATAACCCCATTGATAAAACACCCTCTACAGATTATCCCGTTGATATAACACCTCCGGATACTCCCCTTAATCAAACACCCTCTCCAGATAATCCCCTTCAAACACCCGCTTGAAGATGTATCAACACATTCGCTATGAGAGTCAACTGCTAGAAAACATTGACTCGGCCAATTTCATTAATAGAGTAGACCAAGAAAATAAAGCAATAGTCAATGCAACAACCCACCTTCTTGATACCAAATGAATTAAAACTGACCCACAGTCCCACCAGGACCTCCCCCCCCCCACGCCTCTTCCTAATTAAGGAAATTACCGTTATTTAAAACCCCCGACCTTCTTCAAACCTCAAGCACCGATTTGATTGGATAGATTCTGGTCACGTGCGCGGGGCCCGGGATAAAAATCACATTTATCGTAAACACCGCGATATAAATGCATTGTGGGAGCCGTGTGATATATCAGCCCCGTGTGGGGTGGTGACACATCAGGAAATACGGTTTAAAGAGCGATGCATTTGTTGGGTTGGCAAATCTTTACGTCTGGTTACGCGATGTTTGCGACCTATGGCTGGCAGACGGTGTGGTGTGTTTTCTCACAGCTCGTGTGGGTGGGTGGGGGGGGGGGGTGATGCTAATTTATGAATAATCAAAAATCTATAATTGCCAAAAATAGATGCTGTATAGTCACACACACACACACTCGAATATATATATATATATATATATATATATATATATATATATATATATATATATATATATATATATATATATATATATATATATATATATATATATATATATATATATATATATATATATATATATATATATATATATATATATATATATTTATAGTGGAGTGAGAGTTAAAACTGTTCTTCCTTACTTATTTCCCTGTTTTGACAACGTCATGAGGTCATATTAAAGACCAAACAATTGTATTATTTTGTGATTACAGGCAGTTACTAGCCCATCAAGCACGCTTTGTTTTACCCCTGATTTAACTCGCCCAGTAACCTTTGCTGTCAAGAGTTGCGTGAACTGTTTCAAATAAATCCTTACTTTCCTGTGCTGTTCGCTAAATAAAGACAAGACACAAACAACAATATAATCACAGGGACAAAACATTGACTTGTCACAGTTAACGCAAAAAGATTGCGATAAAAATAGTCTGTCGTGTATGAAACGAGCAAGACAGAACTCTCTATCCACTGGAGCTGTTAAAATGCTGAATTCTAGTTTGTAAGGGAGATCACTCGTTTACGCACGACACCAAATCTAACTGATGGTATTTTATAGTAGAAGACTCAAAATTAACAATAGTTTTTTTGTTTTGTTTTTTAATAAGAAAAAAAATGATTATGAAGTTAAATTACTTATATTTAATACATTTTTTTCTAATTATGGAATAGAATTTATTTTGGGTGTTTGAAAATCTAGATAAGGGTTGGTGAGTGTCATGCGACGCCCCTCTTTTTCTGATGGTGTTGTACCACACACCTTTGATGGTGTTATACCACACACATTTGATTGTGTTGTAGAACACACATCTGATGGTGTTTAGCGAACAAATCTGATGGTGTTTAACCACACATCTGATAATGTTTAGTGAACAAATACGATGGTGTTGTACCACACACCTTTGATGGTGTAGTACCACACACCATTGATGGTGTTTATGTCATGAACACTTCTGACGGTGTTGTTCCTAAAGAAAAGACAACCAACGAAGGTTAACCCCCGCTCATTGACTCCCCCTGCCGGATGAGACAAAAGGACGTCGTCAGAAAGCTACATGATGAATAATTAAACACAATCAGTGCTAATTGCAGTCAGGGACGGTCCTCCGTCCAGTTGTAGCAAGAAATATTGCCGACGTTTTACCTGCCCTGTGACGTCACCACGAGTTTAATAGTCCACGGCGACCTTTGGTTTTATGAGCCTCGTTTTCGTTGTTCTCTTCTCCTTATCAGGGACTCTATGCATGACGTCACGGCAGTTGGAAATGTTTCTAATTTCGAGTTGGATTGGTTTGTAAGGTCTAGAGGGATGGGAAAAGGGGGGGGGGGGGATTTGTTATTCATTCATGGGCGGGTTACACTGACCGTTAAATGTGAAGGGCTGGGGTTATAAAGTATATGGGCTGGGGTTATAAAGTATATGGGCTGGGGTTGGGGTAAAGGGGGGCTTATCAGTTGCATATAGAGTTGATCACGTCATTCACTTTATATAGTAGATACGATGTAGACGTAATAGCTGAGCATGAGTATTGGTAAAGGGGTCATCCATAAATGACGTCACGCTTTTTTTGACGATTTTTACCTCACCCCCCCCCATCCCCTCCGTCACACGTCGTCACAAAAAGCCAGACCCCCCACCCTAAAATAACGCCACACCTCAGCCTACAATACCCCTCAAAATTGCAGTTGAATTTTTTAAAAACATTGATATTTTTCTAAAAATCTTGTCTAAACTATTACATTTTATTAAAACAGTTATCTAAAACGCGAAATAACGACCAAAACGTCGTTTTCTAACATTGCTTTTTTATAATGCAAAAGTGTGACGTCGCAACATCTGACCCCCCCCCCCCCCCCCCCCTCCCCGTCATCACACATCGGCTGAAGAAGCAAAAAATTATGCTAATCTCTCAGTTGAGTCGCCTAATGCAAATATGCTGCCTATGTTTTATATAGGCTAAACTAATGACGTTGACTTTCATAAAACATGTATTCAGCGTTTTGTTTTCAAATAGTATTCATATCAGAAGGGACGAACTATAAGGAATATATCATAGCTTCTAGAGCTTCGAAAGATAGTCCTCAGAATGGTAATATTGGGTACTATTGGGTACAAAACTCACAGGTATTCCTAAAATGGATTTCTGTTGAATCTATCATAGCACCAACCCGCTATCACAGAATCTACAATCATCTAAGGTTATGTGGGTACTACACAAATCTATTATAGTGCCTACACCTACCTAAGATAGATTGTAATGTTGGGTACTACACAAATCTATTATAGTGCCTACACCTACCTAAGATTGTAATGTTGGGTACTACACAAATCTATCACAGTGCCTACACCTACCTAAGATAGATTGTAATGTTGGGTACTACACAAATCTATCACAGTGCCTACACCTACCTAAGATAGATTGTAATGTTGGGTACTACACAAATCTATCACAGTAACTACACCTACCTAAGAATGGTAATGTTGGGTATTACACAAATCTATCACAGTGCCTACACCTACCTAAGATAGATTGTAATGTTGGGTACTACACAAATCTATCACAGTAACTACACCTACCTAAGAATGGTAATGTTGGGTACTACACAAATCTATCACAGTGCCTACACCTACCTAAGATAGATTGTAATGTTGGGTATTACACAAATCTATCACAGTGCCTACACCTACCTAAGAATGGTAATGTTGGGTACTACACAAATCTATCACAGTAACTACACCTACCTAAGATAGATTGTAATGTTGGGTACTACACAAATCTATCACAGTAACTACACCTACCTAAGAAAGGTAATGTTGGGTACTACACAAATCTATCACAGCACCTACACCTATCTAAGATAGATTGTAATGTTGGGTACTACACAAATCTATCACAGTGCCTAAACCTACCTAAGATAGACTGTAATGTTGGGTACTATAATATATCGCAGTTACTACACCTACCTATGGTAGACTGTAATGTTGGGTACTACACAAATCTATCACATCGCTTAAACCTACCTAAGAATGGTAATGTTGGGTACTAAACAGAGTTTGACTTATTTCCACACTTTCTCTAATTAGGGGAGGGGGAGGAACGTCAAACGTGTCAAAAGGAAATTATTGAGGACAAAATGGGCAATTACTTGGATGTCTTGATTTGATTTTCTGGTAAGTAGTCTAAGACTTTTCTGAAGGATACTGTAGGGTACAGCAGGGTTATGTACGGTACGGAGGGTTTGTAAGACAGTAATGAACGGTATAGTAGAGGGTTCGGCAGGGTATTGTAAGGTACGGCAGGGTACGGATGGTAGGGCAGGGCACGGAGGGTAGGGCAGGGCACGGAGGGTGCGGAAGGTGCTGACGGTACAGATGGTACCGATGGTACGGAGG